AGAAAGTCACTGGTATCTGCTGTCTCTTTCGGATTATTTTCTTTGAAAGATGTTGGGAATGAAATAGTAACTGATATGATGTTGATAATGGAGGGTAACGAGTGATTAATGGGAATGGAAGCCGTGAATTTGTTGACACATATTTAGAGGATACAATTCTATGGAATACAATTACTGCTTATTACTGAGCGACGTTTCGACTAGGCTTCTCTAGTCATTATAATCATTGACAATAATATTGTGTCCTGTTAATTAGTATCTATCACATTTTATATATAAAGTCTTGTTACAGTATTGGTTCTTTGAATCAGGTTCATGACAACAATCGGATCAGAACAGTAGGAAGTTAAACCCCATTTCATTTCATTTCATTTCTTGACAACAACACTGGTTTAACTTCATATGATACTTTTATTGTTCTTCAAAATTATCAAGTACAAAACTTCTTAAAGACTCGATAATTAGCTTGTGTTGAGGGAACCATGGTCCTAGCTTGGTTTGGAACACCCAGGTGCCAACTTCCAACTAACTTACATGGCCGCTCCCCAGTCTTAACTAACCTTCTATCACTTCAGATATCTGCTTATAATCCCTTTAGAGACAAAGGATGATCGAAGAGATTATGCAGCTGGCTATGCAAGCTGATTACAACACAGATCCAATTTCGTTTCGTTTTTATAGTTCAAAATTTTGATTTTACTTGTCTTTACTACACTTGGATCTGGAAGCGTTGTTATTTAACTCGTGTTCTGCTTGAAATGAGGGGTCAGCCAATCAAATGGTCTGTTGAATCGAGCGTTTGACCTTTTTTGCGCGGAACTGTGGGTAGAGGGATTATATAGGCTTTGCCTGTTTCCTAATCCTAATATTCAATAAAATATTGTTTAAAAAAAAACAAAAAAAAACTGTGGGTAGACATTAGCGGCAATAGAAATCAAAATAAAGCAAAAGTAGATAAAAAAATACATGGCGGTCGCTAATTGGTTAATCGAATGACTGATGTAATCGGGTCAAATGTCGCTTGCTTGGTACCTGACGTCATAGAATGTGAACTCCCACTATAACTTGTTAGATCTACATGTAGTGTAGGCGATCGAAAGTATAAAAAACGAAACGAAATATAGATCTATATTTTAATTAGATTGCTGGCTATGTTGCATTATACCAAATTAATTGTTCAGTACAGATTGCTTACAAGAAAAAGGACATTACATAATGCAAGCCAACAGTAGTAATTAATGACTTCCACATGGTTGTTTGTCGTGTTAAGCCAGCGCCAATGTCAACCATCTGTGTGGATCATAATATGATAAGGTGTAATACTATAGTCCTTGCGACCATAATTGTATCATTAACAATTATTGGTTCACACTTTCAATAGAGTAAAATCCCATGTATTGATGAAAGTGAATGATATATTTATATATAAGAAACAGTGATATTTTGGTAAAATCCTTACCATCATATTCTACCTTGTTTATGATGTGTGTTTGGTAGACCAAATAAGGTAATGGTCTACCCCTGGTCTTTGAAGAATGGGGATGTTTATTCCATATTTGGTAAGGAAATTAATGTTAAGGTCAGTCTATGACATACAGAAATTAGGGGGTTATAAAAGAGGGTGTTGGCGTGCACATAAAAGAACCCTTGAAATTTGGAATATGAAATAAGAGTAGGCCATTGTGTGAAATTTCTATCCTAGCACAGTGTGTATGCCCATCTTCATTAGTCCGATCTGTCTTCATTAGTCCAGTAGAAGCAGAACAGTAAGATGTTAAACCCCATTTCATTTCATTAGTCCAGTTGGTGCATAACAGTATAACTTTAACCCCAATTTCATTTCATTTCTGTTTCCAAGTAAAATGGTGGGCCTACATGCATTTTAGAACTAAGAACATAATATGCACTTTAGTGAAGTCATCTCCAACAGCACGTGAGTAGGTATTACTAGTATTAGCCATGAATACACTAACAAGAATATCAATTCATATATATATATATACTGTCTGTCTTCAATCACGCCAGAAACGCTTCAATATTCTTCATAAATGCATATGTCAAGGTGGATTAAGACAATTATTCTTTCTCACCGATATAATAAATTCTGGTAAAAACAAATTAAGTTGTCATTTCTTGGCACTGAGTAATGATTTCATTTCCTGTGTCGCAAAATCACTTCCCTGAATAGAAATCCATCAGAAATATTCCATTTAACATATCAAATAATAAAAATAAATTTAAATATCACACACACAACAAAAGTACACTGTAACATTTACCAGTATTCAATTTAAATTGTCAAGCAAAAAATAACTTTAAAAATCATAACCCCTGATTACATTTAAACTACTATCTTATTTAAAAATCATATAATTTATTTCTGCCTTTAGAGTTTCTGAATGTCATTAATAATATCCTACTAAAAGAGGTGTTATCACTTTTAATAAACAAATAAATGTTACAATCATACTAAAAATACAAATATATTAAGGATTTTGTCAAGCATACTTAACTTCTTGAAAACCCTGATAGGTTCAGCTGTGAACAACAAAGAAAGTTGTGTTTATCTGGATTATACTCCCTGCTGTTACTAATGTATCTACCAAACAAATATATACTATCAAACAAAGCTAATGTATTCATTAACTAAACCATTATCTACACATGGTGGCTTAATCAGTCTTACTAATTGTTTACAACTAAACCACAAGAATATAATAGGTGGCTACATGGGTTAATTTATACAACTGATTACTTCAATTTGAGAACTCACTGTGAAGAACTTTTGTTTTGATGTTTTGATATATTTGTTTTGATGTTTTGATATATTAGAAACAGTGCCAGACTTTTCGATTAGTAAACAAGCCAACAGTGAGGCTGATGTCCCCCGCCGAAATCCCAAAATAAATAGATGACATATTAATTAATCGCACTTTTTATTTTTTTCAAAAGTATCAAGCAATCAAATTGATTATCAACTATACACTAAGTTACATCACTCTCTATCAGATAGAATCAAAGTCATCCTGTCCCAAAGGATCGACCAATGAAATTGCTTAGCTCTGTTTAGCTTTAGCTCGAAATGTTAATCACTGAACTCAGACAAGACATTCACCTAATGAACATCAACATCAAGTTAAAACATTCTACCTCAATTAAAAGCAGAGTTGTCATGTTTCAAAGTCTTGACCAATCAAATTCTCATCATCAAACTTAGTCAAAGTATTGATATAACGAATCTATACTCAGAGTTTTATCACTTTCACTTAATTAAAACCAAAGTTATTGGCCCCAAAGCATCAACCAATTAAATTGCTTATCTCTGCTTACCCTAAGGAGAAAATGCTCATCTTCGAACTCCATCAAGGCATTTGCCTAGTAAATACCTACACCAAGTTTGAACGTTCTAGCTCAATTAGAAGGAGGGTTATTGTGTTCCAAAGTCTCGGCCAATCAAATCGCTTATCGCTCTGCTTACCCTGAGCAAAAAATGTTCATTATCGAACTTAGTCAAGGTTATGATGTAATGAAACTATACACCAAGTTTCATCACTCCCACTTAATTAGAATTAAAGTTATCGTGTCCCAAAGCATTAGCCAATCAAATTGCTTATCTCTGCTTACCCTAAGCAGAAAATGCTCATCTTCGAACTCCATCAAGGCATTTGCCTAGTAAATACCTACACCAAGTTTTAACATTCTAGCTCAATTAGAAATAGAGTTATTGTGTCCCAAAAAGTGTGACGGACAGACGGACGGACTGCTTGAACAACTGGTGATTACTCAATGCCATCATTTCTCAAAGAATTTCGATGGTGCAATAGTTGACTTAATGATAGTACAAAAGCTGATATCAGATTAAACTATTTTTATTAACTTTTTTTCAATTCACAAAATTATTTTACTAAATCTGTACAATTTTTATGCAAAATAATGTCACAATGTATTATGTGTATCATATTGAGTAACTTATTTATCCTTCAAATGGTACAAAAACAGAGGACCTATTTACACATTGGCATGCCTGTAAAGGAAGCCTCGATGGTTGTAATTCAAAATAAGAGTAGGCTGTAGTGTCGCTGTCTGAGCAAAATGTCCTTCAATGTTACACGACATGACGTTATGCCCATCTTCATTAACTCGGTTGGTTCAGAAAAAGAGGACATTACATCAGTTTCATTTCATTTTCATCTCTGTGGTATACGACAAAAATCTGCTTCTTACAGGGAAATCCAAGTTATATTTAACTAACAAAAACTCTACCAAATTATTATCCTAGTGCAATTATCTGAAGCTCTGTATAATTTTTTGAAAGATACAATCTTTGTTGGCCAGGACTCCCCAAATTCCATGCTGTATATATCATATCTATATAACGAAAGCTATAGTGATAAGTGATTTTGAAGAGTATCGGCTCACTTATCCAACTGAAGAACTTATATATTACATAAGCCAATAATCATTTGCAAATGGCTCAATATTTTGATTTGAAATTTCCAGACAATTATATGCTATATCCAGTTTGATTTTCACACTTAAACCCACTTCTGGCAAGCGGTCTCTCCCTTTAACAGCTATATTCTTTACTTTTATATATTTACACGTCCGGGGAGAACAAGGAACAAATTGGATACAAATGTCATGCCTTGAAAATGATAAATATTAGAAACTGAAGATTAGATTTTATCATCTCTTTGTGAGATATGGTAGTCTTTGTAGGTTTTTTAATCCCTTTCATCTACAATATTGGGATTAAAGTTGAATCTTTAAAAGGATTATCAGATCAAATTGTGAAAATAAAATTTTGATTGGAGGGGGATATTATCCATATTGATATTTGCATTCATTTATGTACTCCATAGAGATCCATATAAATAGCAGACAACATTTTGAAAAAAAAATATAATAATGAAGCCTCACTACCAATTTTGTATATGTATTAGTTTCACCAATAAGAAATCAACCCAATGAGTAACAAATCTACTCTTCTTATCTTTCAGGTCTGTCAAGATGTTATAACCAAAGAATCAGAAAATACAGCATCATCAGAAATCAAGATGAATTCCACAGAGGACTATGTTGCGGAATATATTGAGAGAATCTGTTATAATTATCTTGGACCAACTATTTGTATTATAGGAATTCTCAGTAATATTCTTAACCTCTTAATTTTAACAGAGCGCTCTTTAAAGGAGTCCCCCTATTCATATCTCACTGCAATGGCCGTAACAGATCTATGCGCTCTATTCCAGGCACTTCTCTTCATGCTGTTCTCAAAAAATAATCCCACCAGTTATTACTGGAAGTTTTACGATGCTCACATCTTTTATCCAATCATCAACATTTGTACAAATTCAAGTGTCTGGTTGATAGTGCTTTTAACAGTGGAACGTTTTTTATTTGTACGTTTTCCATTCTGGGGTAAAGTTAATTTAAATCGAAAAGGGTCTCATATAAAGATTGCTCTTGTTATGGTTATTATGGTGATCATAAACATTCCACGATTCCTGACTTTTACAGTTATGTATCTACCAGAAAAAAACGTATACGTTCTCCATTCACGACCTTTCCGACACAGTAATGTAAATTATGCCATCAGTTGGTTTTACAGTACAGTCATCAATTTCATTCCACTGTTTGTTCTGTGTATATCAAATATTTATCTATTAGTTGCTGTTCATCAAGCTAGATCACATCGCAAACTTCTAACCAATCAGAATAATAACAAAAATACTTGGCATCGAGATCAAATGCGACTGACAATTACCCTCATCAGTATTGTCTTTCTTTTCATAGCATGTATCCTGCCAAATGCTTTTTCTGATCGACCAGTGGCCCATGCTTTGTTTGGGAAAGAGGGGGAATCTATTAAAGACTTTGGTAGCAATTCCAGATCATATCGAATCCTTCAAGTACTCACCAACTTTTTACTTTGGTGTAATCTTTCATTAAATTTTGTTCTCTATTGTGCTTTTAACACCAAGTTTGTTCAAGTATTCAAAAAAATGTTGAATCGCTGGGCCAAGAAAATCCACGATAAAACTGAAGCTATGACATCATTCCAAGCTGGTGAAATGAACTCATCAGAACTGAGCCTTGGTCACCGGCAAACACATCTGTCCCTAACGCGAACCACCTGATGTGAGGAAGAACGAGAAGCTGAACAGAATAACTGTATCATGATGACAAATCTGAGCTGTGTTAGACATAGTGATACGCATCAAGATATCACGAAAGGATGTTCTGTTTAGTTGTCTTGTTCAAAGTAAAATCTAGCAAAGTGACCAACCAATATAGTGTGGACTTTCAAGCAGCTCGAATGCATAGCCGAATGACACAAAAGTAAAGGACATAATCAATCCAAATTAACTGTTTTCATACAAAACAAACCGAGTGAATGACAAATTTTATTTTGAATTGATATACTATATAGATCTTATATGAGATATAACTATATTCCAAAAGTGCTTTGAGGTGTATGAGAAAGAGAGAGAGAGAAAGAGAGAGAGAGAGTTTAACTCCACTTGAAACAAACTATGGTTCAAATTAAATTTCAATAATTCGCTTGCGCGTAAGGGTCTTTAGCAGCGGGAGGAAACCGGACAACCCAGAGAAAACCCACAAGGTTGGGCAGGCCACCCTACTCCTTGTCACGTACAACCAGGGAATCGAAATGACACCAGTTTACTCAATGACAGACCTTATGATACAAAATGCACGCACTAACCAATCTAAAAGTGTTACTTGGATCATGCTTTTCAATATTATTGTAAAGACCTACATATCGAAGGATAAATAAAGATAAACGGGACAGTGCTAGCCCCCTTAAATACCAACAAATAGCATACATAGAAGCTATAATAATGCCAAAACTATTTAAAATGGCACCAAAAATCCTGATGTGTATCACATTCACAAGCTTTAGAAGTTGAATTAAAAATGAAGAGAACACGTGTGATGCCAATCAAACAACATTGGTACAGACATTTCATAAACCAAAATGGTCAGTGATTATGTGTGTAGAATATATATAACTCAACTTTATGGATAGATTGAAGGATATCTATAAACTCATACTATAGATTATGAAAAGCTGTGATTCCGCTAAAAACCCCAGCTCCATAATGGTTCTTTCAAACCTTTTTATAGTACATTAGTAAATGTACAAGGCACAGTGCCTTTTCTGACAATTTATGTATGGAAAATAGAGAGATTTGTGAGATTTAATCCAGCCAGATATGTTGCTTTAATCAATACGAAACATTCTCATTACTAGATTGTAGATACTTTATTGGCTTAATCACCAAATTTATGACCAATGAGATGTTTGAGAGTTTCCGTCAAGATTCTGTTCAAAACAACCATGGATATGAACTTATCCTTTCTATTATGTACCTTTAATATATTTATAAACAATGTTGGTGTCTATATACCTATATCTACCTCAACTCTTCATCAAAATTTCGCACAAGCTTAGTAATATTCACACTAATATTTAACTTTATATATTCTACAATATCCTAAATCATATTTCATAAAAGTTGCATAAAGAAAATATCTATATAGATATAAGGCCAAGCCAATTTGATTTTCAGTTCTTTGGGGTCTGGGGATCACGTCGGCTAAGTGGGTTAGGCGCTGGCTCGCTAGCCTGGAGGTTGGGTGTTCAATCCCTGCATTGGCAGAGAAAGTTCATCCAGATTTTCCGGCGTGGTTTTCCCTTGTCAGTGATGCAGGACGGAGGGCCTGACAAGGACAGCTGTCTAATCATTTGGATGAGACAAAAAAACGAGGTCCCGTGTACACATTGGCGTGCACATAAAAGATCCCTTGACAGTTGGAATTCGATGTAAGAGTAGGCCGTAGTGCTGCTGTCCGGGCAAAATTTCCCTCATAGCACACTATGCCGTATGCTTGTCTTCATTAGCCCAGTTCGGATCAAAACAGTAGGACGTTAAATATGATTTCATTTCATTTCATTTCTTTGGGGTCTTGATAAATAAATAGCACTTGAAATCAATTGACAGGTGTTTTGTTTAAAATTTCAAAACTTACAAATTTGGAATCAAATTTGGTTTTTTAACTAGTCTTCCTCCCGAAAATTAAGAAGAAAAATTTTAACAGGGGTTCCCAAACAACAGAAAATCAAATTGGTGTAGTCTTACCTTAGAGTTATGAAATTCTTAGAAATTGACCTAAAATATCATATTTTTAGTATCAAAATCAATCTGATATAAATACAGATCTATATTTCATTTCATTTTTTTTTTATATTTTCGATGGCCTCCACTACTTAAGATCTGATTGGTTGTAGTGGAAGGTCGCATCAGGGGTCACATGAGTGTTTTTTGACCCTAGGACATCAGACATTTGATTAACCAATAAGTGGTGATATTTCTAGTGGGATACCCACAGTTCCATGCACCAGATGCCAAGAATTCGCCGTAATAGACCAAGTCATTAGCTGATCTGTCACATCAACCAGAACACGGGTTATATAACAACTCTTCCAGATCATAGCGTAGTAAAGACAAGTAAAACAAAATTTAGAATTATAAAAAAGGAAACGAAGTAGGATCTGTGTTTTAATCAGATTGTATCAAAATACTCTTTTATAAATACTGCATTCATAGTATTGTAACAATTATTGTGTGATTCAAAACAAGGTAACATTTCTCATTATAAAGGTGTATCAAAAAAAACATCAATTACTCTATTAATGTGCATTGCCACATGTAAAACACAGCTTATTTTTGTTTAGGTTTATCTCAAATGGAAGTTGAATAACGAATGCTGTGTATATATAAAGTTAGATGCTTCTTACACTTCTAAGAAAAAATGTCTTGAAGGCATATTGATCTCAAGTTGTGAGGAATAGCAGCTGTTCTAAAACCTGTCCGTGAAAATAAAATATCGTAAAATGAGAGATTACTACTTTAACTGCATGATAAATTTTTCACAATATTTAAATATATTTCACACCAAACAAGTCATGTATTAAGAGATTTTGAATGAGCCAAATACAGCTTCCAGGATCATACTGAAACGTACCACTTGGAACAACTTTTATATTAAAGTCCATCAGTAAAAAGCAGTATGGTTATTGTCAATATGTAATCAGACATTGGATCTATTATTGAAAGGATTAAGATCTCAGACAAACATTTACAAGACGCTTATAGCAATGGAATATATGTATAAGATTATTTCTAAAAACAATATTATCGGAATACTGCTAAACTATCTTGAAGACATGTTGCCACACACACCCACAAAAACCTAATCGCCCAAACAGTCCATAAAGGTTTTTAAATTTTAGGTAATAAGAACCATAAAAACTGATCATGGACAATAATGTTTGAAATAATAAATATTCTATAGGTTTCTTGTTCTAGCAGATTCAGTAAGGCTTCTTCGTCATATAAACAAACACTGTGCATAAATTTAAAACCTTAGGATCCACATAATTGTTCAAAGTGATCAAGGGCAACATAATTTGAAAAGAGATTCACTGAAAATTAATAAACTTCTCTTCATTTCATGAACATAAACACTGTTATAAATTTCAATTCATCTGCCAGAGCATCCAAAAGATTGTTCTGACTTGTGATTTATGCAGCTCCGACAGCAATTATTGTAAATTAATAGACTTCTTTGTCTAATAAACATTGGGATGATAACTTTCGAGTTGAGACAGCTAGACATCTTCATGACAATATAGATAATATTTTAATGTAGGTCTATAAAAATAACAGTTTATTCAATCCTTTGGGAGATTTGTATTAGAACATTAAAGAGATCTATTCAAAGCAAATAACTATTTGACAAAAACCTTGTACAGTTTATAAATCTTAAAATAACCAAAAAATATTATCATTGATGTCAAGTAGGCGTTTGTTTCATTTACCCCATCCAGTTTCATTTTTGACTTTAAGACAAACTCTAATTATTATTCATATTAATGTATTAATAAATAAGTTGAAGGAATAATACACAGCCAGATATAAAGTGAGCCTCAGCAAAATATTTTGTGCACAGCTTGTCCCCAATCCGAAAGCAATTTTTAAACCTAGTTTTTAATTATTTTTTTTTGTTAAATACTGAGTTTCTTACTGTTTTTAAAAGTGTATTCTTCAATATACTCTCAGGAATACTTATAAATTATAATAATTGTAAGGTATTAACTTTGTACAAAATACTTCTGAAATTGAGATCAAGGAACATATTAGAAGATTTCAGACCTATAACCAAATTTATCTTTTCAATAAAGTAATGAAATGGCCGTATACCACAATGATAGATATATATACATATATATGTGTTTATATTACCGTATATTGTGATATGTAAGTAATGTTGTGATAAACTGTTGTAAATGAAAATGACTATGTTCATATTTATATTATTAATCATTTATTTATTTATTCTACTTATTAACTTCTTATACTGTCAACTGGTCATGTATATGTATATATATATATATATATATATAAAAAATACAATTTTATAACATTCAATCCTTATCATTGAATGGATGTATATATACATACATACACATACAACACTGTCCATTGATGACCATAATATCTAATTTTTCACAGCTTAATTAATCCATGACAAAATGTATGAAAAATAACATTTAATAAGAAAACCAAAACAAAATTTTAAGGGCAGATAATCTCCCACATTAAGTTAATTAATGTCTAATTAATAATTTAGATAACATTTCAGGCCTAAAGAAAGACCTGCAATAGGCAGATTTAGCTCTTGCATAATGTATGTTTAATGAAAAACTAATCTCATGACATATGTTTTCCTTTTCTTGTAATTGTATATTTTACCTATGTGAACCTATCTTACATTTGGTTGAGCATTATTATACTGTCGCGGTACACTAGAAGTATTGATAAGTGTTTCACATAATGAGTCTATCAAAACATCTGATTCCAGACTGGTTTATAGATTGTTGTTCAGTGACATTATATATTTCATGTTTATTCACATTACCATGTAACATTGGGTTCTCTGAATACATTCAACACCTTCTCGTATTGCACACATATATTGAAATTAAATTTACAATATATTTATCTCATATTCAAATTTTAATATTCTTTTCATAGAAATCTAAACACATAATCTTTTCAATCTATTTTTGTTTAGATTCATCATTCTGGGATTTCAAAACTTCAATCGTGTGTCAGTTAACATCCATTTCTTCACGCCTCTAGTTAAAACCTGTCAGATCTTAATAAAAATAAACTTGTTCAAATATACTCAAACGCCTATAACTCTGTTAACAGGAAATATTTTTCAATTAATTAGAACGAAAATCAGGGTTTGGATCATTGCATCTCTATTTATAGAGACGTCACATGGCTTTTTATAGAACTCCAACAGTTATCCTGTTTCAAATTAATCCTATTTTTGTCAAATAAATCAATCTCCTGGAAAATCTATTTCTTTAATTCAATATGCTGGATTTCAAAATAATATAATATTTTTCAAATTGTACATTATTAATATAACATTTTCATATTGTCATTTATTAGTGGAACTAACAATAAGGTGTTTAATTGGCTATAGACATGATTATTTATAGTAACAAAAAAAAACCCCAACAGTTCCATTAATATGTTCAAAAAGTCACTTTAATCCAAAAAAACTTATGTCATAACTAGAAGTTACTTTATTTTAAAATTTACATAATTTAACTCTTACATAATGCATCTTTAACAGAGAGGGATATCCATATATACCTTGTGTTGTGTTTTGTAATGAATGGGGTCATCTCAACACAAACTATGTCATTTTGGGACTAACACATGGTTCAATTTTATTACAATAATTTGCATGCGCATAGGGGTCTTAGCTGTGGGAGGAAAAAAATCCTCTTTGAACATTGAATTATTTTAAATTATCTCTAAAACATCAGTTTGTTTGTTGAGTCTTTTAACTGAGGGTAAAAAGTGAGAGATAGAGGTTAGTATTGTCTGTTGTCAAGCATTTTTGGAATATTTCGGTTCAGCCTAACACAGATATGATGGACATTTTTTTAATCCATTCCATATCCAAGCCATACAGTTGATTAATGGCTTGTCATCAGAATAAATCTCTAAATAATAATCTATATAACATTTGAAGCCAGAAAAAACATCCTGGAATACGCAAATTTTGCGCTAGCATATATATATAATACCTCTTCATGTAACACCCACAGTTTCCGTAAATATAAGCAGGATTAAATTAATTACCAACGAGTTGGGGAGTCAGTGTTCTTTACAACTTATAAATTAGGGGATATATAAATATGGGGATATATAAATATATATAGCTAATACTATTGATTTTTAAGTTGATACGTGAGTGGGCCTCATACTGTTGTTCATTTAATCAGGAAATCTCATATTCTTAAAGATGCATTATGTAAGATTTAGATAAAGAGCTGGCCGTTCTTGTTTTGATAGTTCAAAAGTAGATAATGAAACATGAATATTTTGAAAACTACTTATTGTTCACAATATAGTCTTGATTGTCAAGTACCAGTTTTATGATAATAAACAGTCTTGAGTATCCATTTTTAAATTAAATTATTAAATGGTGATAACATTTCAATCCACTGAAAATTATGATCATCTGATGGTCTAGAGATTTAATTATAGGCTTGTCATGTGAATAGATGTCTAATTAACACTTTATATAACATATGAGGCCAACCCCCCCCCCCACCTGCAAATGGCAGATTTAGCTCTTACATAAAGCACCTTATTATAGCTATATGTTACATAATGTAAGGACGAATTACATCCATAGAAAAGTCAAGCATTAACTTATTGATGGTGATAAGTCACGTATTAGCTTATCTCATCATCAATTATCTTACTTAAAAATACATTATGCAAGAGTTAAATCTGATTATTGCAAGTCGAGGCTAAATGATAGAGTGTACGAAGCGAGGCCGCTGTTGAGCGAGGCCGCAT